TAGCGGTACCAGTCCATGCCACACTCACCAGGTATGTCTCTCGTATCAGTCACAACCTCGATCCCCCACTCACAGATGCCACATGCACCCAAGGACCACCATGCGCCCCATCCAAAAAGTTAGCTTTTAGAGGCCTAGTAGCGGTAGGCTAGGTCTAGGCGGTACCAGTCCATGTAGCCCATGTCTAGGGCCTTTACGGACGATATCAGAGTCTGCAATGATGTTTCCCTCCGAAAGGGAGGAGGTACCGGTTGCTTGGAGGCCGCGCGGCCTGGAAGTCACTGCCCAAGAGACAGGTTGGCCGCTATATCTCCAGGAGGAGCAAAGAGCTCCTCCTCATTTGCTGCGTGAAAGTTTGGCTGTCGTGCTGGGGCGACCAGCGGAGGAGCGCGGTGGTGAGAGCTGGGAGAGAGGACCCCCAGCTCTCCACCTTGGCTATGGTGGAGGAGCTCAGGTAGGAGGAGGAGTAAGGAGGGGACTAGGAGAGGGGAGCCCCAGGGGTACATACCTGGCTATGGTGGACGCCATCTTCATCACCTTGGTGGGTGATGCATCTGGAAGGTTCCCATTGGAGTAGAGGCGCATCAAGAAGCTTCGAGGCAGAGTCAGGCATGGCAGCCTGAGAGAAAGAGGCCATAGCTGCTCTGCGTTGTCTTTTGCACATCAGGGCAAGGTCCTTAGTAGTGGTCCATAGCCTCGGCCTAGATGAAGAAGAGAGAGGAGGGCGACCATGGCTATGTTGGACCTCTTGTTGTGCTGGCAGTAGAAGAGGGATTCGGACATTGATTCTGGTTCAGCCATTCATCATTATTATAGTTATTTATTGTTTGAATAAGAGAGGAGTGCAAGGAAAATGAGCGATAGCGAACTTCGGAAACCAAGCAGCATCATATACATGAGACCAGATAGTAGCGACCTCGAACCAACAGCAGAATTGCGACATGAGTTTCACCAAATAAGAGCACAACGAAAGCTCATAAGCGACAATGTTCGAATAGTCTCATCATCAACAAAGAACCAATGTCATCATCCTATCTGGCACTCTGTGCCCAGACTACTCATGGCAGATCTTATCTAGCCTAATCTACAATGCCGCTGGTGATGTCAACAGCTTTCCCAAAGTACGAGCAGATCTCGGCCAACCCAAGGACCACCATGCGCCCCATCCAACATACAGCAGCGCAGCTCGGCTATGGCTGCCTGCTCCTTCCGGCTCGCCTGTGAGCGCGTGAGCGCTGGCCAGCGTATAGCGCAGCATGCAGCCAGTGCCCGAATGACCAATGCGTGGGCAGGCCCTTCCCTATATCAAAGTGGCCTGCTGCTGCATGCGATAATGCGGTACTGGGCCCCGGCCCAGAAGCTTCCGGTAGGCCCCGCGAGGCTGAGCCTCAGTACAGAGAAAACAGGCCCAGGGCCTGTGGTGGTTACCAGCGCCCAACCGCCCTCGGCCTGTGTTCGGTCCGCGACCGACCTTGCTGATAACAGGGCCCAGTGGGGCTTATAGAGGCCGTGTGCCTCGCAGGAGGAGGTAAGGAAGGGGGAATTATCTTTGATCTTTTGCTGGTGTACATCTTCTTCTTCTATCTTTCTTATCTTTCTTTCTTCTTCGTCGTCGTCTTCTTTCCCTCTCTCTTCTCTCAAGTTCATTCATTTCTTTTCCAATTGGACGGCACTGTACTTTCTTGGGAATTTGCACTTCGAAATTGGCCAGGATTGTAACAGAAGAATCAAAAAGAAAAAAATATGTAAAGCAAAAGGAAATCCTGAGTCCTGACAGCAAATATACACCTGCTTTTGCCCCCTGCTGTGACCGGATGGCCTTGAGATATCATCATCGAACTGACGAGCCCTAGGTAATTCAGAATTGTAGTATTTCACTCATCTGCTTCCGATGGAGTTTGAACTCGGGTCTGTATTTCAACAGTTCAGGGGTGTACCAACTGTGCTCCAGGGTTCGTTAATTAGGGAGTAGTAGTGGTCTAAACATCTCTGGCAGTCCAAGAGAAAATTGACAGATAAAATCTTAGTTCGGGGGACAAAATGTACATACCTCATTCAGCATTCTCCAAGTGGTGGCATGTGTCCTCGCACGTTTCCGGCTGACAGCTTGAAGGGACTCGGCTCCCTCGTGGAATTCCTGATAGGCCAATGCACAATGGAAACAGCTGAGCTTACATAACGTAACCACCCCTTTTGAGCACACACAGGGTCACACTGGAGAATACCTTCATTGCCCAAGGATCGCGGATTATTTAACCACCTCTTTTCCGCTACACAGTCACACTGGAGAATATCTTGATTGCCCAAGGATCACGGGCTACTGCCCAAGGAGAAGAGCTTCAAGGACGAGAGATATCACATGCAAAGATTAATTCAACACAAACCATGATTCCCATCTCGCCACCTTGCCTTCCACTCTCAAAGCATCCCTCTGTCAACAATGGTATTATACATAATCTATGTATTGTCACAGAACTATTGATTAAGAGCGTAAGCACGTGAAGTAGAAGAAGAAAGATGAGTGAAGAAAAGAAAATGAAAGGACAGACAAGCAGAGAGACAGACAAACCAGAATGACACAAAACAGTGTCCTCTTACTCTTTTTCTTTTTTTCTTTTTTTTTGGAAAAACCGGGGTGGCGCTAGGGGTGCTGATTAGAGCAGACACCGCTAGCCCTCCCCGGGCGGCTCCATCTATTGGTGGAAAGCAGCACCTGCTGGAAACCAGGTCCAGCGTCCTTACATGTGCAATGACTTGCTGATTTCTACTGCCAAGACTGATTGCGAGGCTGTATAGTATAGCAGTAGGTTCATACTTGCGGCGCATCGCGATGCGCTGCACTGCGCACGTGCGCCGCACCGCGCATCCCGCACCACGCGCGCGCACTGCATGCGGCGCACCTCCAAAAATGGGGGTCAAAAAAAAAAAAAAGAAGTTGTGAGGGGCGGTAGTAGACCCGGCCCCCTGCTCGCGTAAAATTAGAAACGGGCAGCCAATTTTTTTCTGGAGGCCGCGCGTTGGCCTGAAAGCTTTGAGTAACCTGTACTTCGGGAACACTCTGTGTGTGGTAGGGTTATTGCAGTCTGTATGGTAGGGTTCTTGCAGGCCAGATTCACTCATGATGAGGGTCGCGATTTCTCAAAACGTTCTCTTCTTTTATTTCGGAAGTAGAAAACGACGGAACTGACAGCCGTTTTTCCTGGAATGTTTTTTTTTTTTTTTTTTTTAAAGGAAGAAAATCAGAATTTATTTGCACGAGTGTGGCCAGGCACGTCCAACCTGTCAGAACCTCAACGGTAATTGCAGTCTGTATGGTAGGGTTCTTGCAGGCCAGATTCAGTCATGATGAGGGTCGCGATCTCTCAAAACGTTCTCTTCGTATTACTTCTGAAGTAGAAANTGCAGGCCAGATTCAGTCATGATGAGGGTCGCGATCTCTCAAAACGTTCTCTTCGTATTACTTCTGAAGTAGAAAACGACGGAACTGGCAGCCGTTTTCCCTGGATTTGTTTTTTTTTTTTAATAAAAGAAAAAAAAACGTAAAGGAAGAACAACTCTTTGCACGAGTGAGGGCCTCGCCACACCACTYTCGAAATGTGAAAAAGACAAAAATGTGGCGAGTGCACCTGGTCACGTTCTAGCGGTAAGTTCATTCCCATTTTGCACATTTCGAGAGTGGTGTGGCGATGCCCTGAAGCCCGGCGCGTCCAACCTGTCAGAACCTCGACGGTAATGTTTGCCAACTGGCTCGCTGCACTACTCTCGACATGCACGACAAGACACATATGGCAATGTATCTTTCCATGTTCAAGCGGAGGATTCAGTCTCATTTGTTCAGAGATTCTCCAAAAAAAAAAAAGAAAGGTTCCAGAGATACGTTACGCGCTTACCTGATTCATCGGCCCTTTGCTCTCCACCACCCAACGTATGAATGAATCTTCCGCCAGAACATGGAAAGATACACCGCCATATTTTTTGTCCTTTGTGCATGTCGCCCCGCTTCTGGATTCATGTTGCCCGTTGATAAGGGCGGTTTCTTCGGTCCGATAGTGTCAGCACACGGTTCTTCTCT